TTTTTTAAAATAATTCTTCCCAGTCGGACGAAACAATGGAATGTTTCAACTAATAGAATTATAATGTCTAGATGATCTCATTAGGTCTTTTTTCCAGATGTTTACATTATCAATGTATTATTAATACATCAACGTAAATTTGGTTTAGCATCCAATAGTTTGTTTTTTTCGCACAAAGTCAAGCTATGAGGAAAATTTTTAACGAGCACAATCAAGTCAAATTAGCGTAGATTGGATAGAGGGAATATTTGTTCATGAAGCTAATCGGGCAGTCGTTGATTTCTAAATAACTCAATAAAGTTTTGCAATGGATTAAATCATTGCTGCAATCTGACTGGATACCTACTTGGATCTCACTTTACGGAGGATGTGAAGTCTGTCTTAGTGTGGTCTGTCTTAGTGTGGCTTGTCTTAGTGTGGTATGTCTTAGATTGGTCTGTCTTTCTGTGATCTGTCTTAGTGTGGTATGTCTTAGATTGTTCTGTCTTACTGTGATCTGTCTTAGTGTGGTCTGTCTTAGATTGGTCTGTCTTACTGTGATCTGTCTTAGTGTGGTCTGTCTTAGTCTTAGTCCGGTCTGTCTAAGATTGGTCTGTCTTAGTGTGGTCTATCCTACTGTGGTCTGTCTTACTGTTGTCTGTCTTACTGTGGTCTGTCTTACTGTGATCTGTCTTACTGTGGTCTGTCTTAGTGACAATGACACCAAGGCTCGTTTGATTGGACGAGCGCTCCCCCCCCCTCCCCCAAACTTTATTCAACTTGCCATGAGTGGGGGTTTTCCGTCTCCCTTCTATTTTTTGGAGCCCTCCAGGCCCCCGACATTGGAGTTGTTTAACCAAGCAACACCCTGGGGACTATTTTGCACCAGTATCTGCAGCGGACAAAAAAAGAACGGGGAAAAGGATGTGGGTACATTTTGATTATATTTTTAGCAATTTATCCAATTTTTTAAAATTATTAATATTACAGAAGGTAGAAAATTTATCGCTGACAGTTCAGCGGTAATCGAAATTATATGGTTGAATAGTCGAATACTTTGTCTGCTCATTGCACGCGAGTATTTTGTTTGCAATTTAATTAGACTTAAGTGACCTCAATCGTTTAGCTGATGTGCAGGACTCCACACACGTATGTTCCAATTGCACTCCACATACGTATGTTGCAATTGCACTCCACACATGTATGTTCCAATTGCACTCCACACACGTATGTTCCAATTGCACTCCACACACGTATGTTGCAGTTGCACTCCACACAAGTATGTTCCAATTGCACTCCACACACGTATGTTCCAATTGCACTCCACATACGTATGTTCCGATTGCACTCCACACACGTGTGTTCCAATTGCACTCCACATACGAATGTTCCAATTGCACTCCACACACGTGTGTTCCAATTGCACTCCACACACGTATGTTCCAATTGCACTCCACACACGTGTGTTCCAATTGCACTCCACACACGTATTTCCAATTGCTCTCCACACACGTATGTTTCAATCGCACTCCACAAACGTATGTTCCAATTGCACTCCACATACGAATGTTCCAATTGCACTCTACACACCTGTGTTCCAATTGCACTCCACACACCTATGTTCCAATTGCACTCCACACACGTATGTTTCAATTGCACTCCACACACGTGTGTTCCAATTGCACTCCACACACGTATGTTCCAATTGCACTCCACACACGTGTGTTCCAATTGCACTCCACCCACGTATTTCCAATTGCTCTCCACACACGTATGTTTCAATCGCACTCCACAAACGTATGTTCCAATTGCACTCCACATACGAATGTTCCAATTGCACTCTACACACGTGTGTTCCAATTGCACTCCACACACGTATGTTCCAATTGCACTCCACACACGTATGTTTCAATTGCACTCCACAAACGTATGTTCCAATTGCACTCCACATACGAATGTTCCAATTGCACTCCACACACGTATGTTCCAATTGCACTCCACACACGTATGTTCGAATTGCACTCAACACACGTATGTTCCAATTGCACTCCACACACGTGTGTTCTAATTGCACTCCACACACATATGTTTCAAAGTGCACTCCACACACATATGTTTCAGAGTGCACCTGTCAACTTTCATCGATAATTCAACATCGCAATGCGGATAAGCGTTTCAAATCCGGAATTTCGGTTCCTCAGTGAAATTTCACGAGGGGTAACATCCATTACTATATGTTGTTGTTTTTTTTTTCATTGTTAATGTCAAGAATGAAGTAAGTGTTGAGAATCCCTGTGGATGTTTGCGCTCTGTGGTATGCACAGCTAATATACGTGACGTAATGCATGAAGCTATGCAGGTTTTGTCTTTGTTTTTTTTTGTGTACTCGCTCATTCCTTAAGTCTTCATAAACTGTCCAGGCATCGAGGAAACACACAGGGAACAGTTGGGATTGACGATTACAAAGTAATCAAATTACAACAGCCTGACTGCAAGGTTACAACATACCAGATGAAAACAGCGGGGCTGTAAGGGAACAACAAATCACATTAAAACGGCAGGCTGAAAGATTACAAAAAATCACATCAAAACAGCCTGGCTGTAAGGTTGCAGCAAACCAAATCACAACAGCCTGGCTGTAAGGTTACAACAAATCACATCTCAACAGCTGAATAAAAAGAATGCAACGTATCGAAAGAGCTTGTTTAGAATATTGCAACATATCACATCTCATCAGATCAATGAAAAGACTTTTAAAACCTATCATATAATCACATACACGTTCTGAGCGTAGTCTATAGCTAGTAACCATATATTTCAATAATTTGTTTGTGAATGCTAGGAAAATGTTACTTTATTTTGTTATAAAGTTGCATTAGGTCGTTCCAAATAAATTATTTTTAATTTGATTGTTTTGTCTCGTATCATATGATCCATTGTGTCAGTGCACTCTATTTTAGCCTTCCCCTGGTTGTTATACTTCGTAGTATCATATGATCCATTGTGTCAGTGCACTCTATTTTAGCTTATCCCCTGGTTGTTATACTTTGTAGTATCATATGATGCATTGTGTCAGTGCACTCTATTTTAGCTTATCCCCTGGTTGTTATACTTTGTAGTATCATATGATCCATTGTGTCAGTGCACTCTATTTTAGCCTAGCCCCTGGTTGTTATACTGGGTAGCATCATATGATCTATTGTGTCAGTGCACTCTATTTTAGCTTATCCCCTGGTTGTTATACTTTGTAGTATCATATGATCTATTGTGTCAGTGCACTCTATTTTAGCTTAGCCCCTGGTTGTTATATTTTGTAGTATCATATGATCTATTGTGTCAGTGCACTCTATTTTAGCTTAGCCCCTGGTTGTTATACTTCGTAGTATCATATGATCCATTGTGTCAATGCACTCTATTTTAGCCTAGCCCCTGGTTGTTATACTGCGTAGCATCATATGATCCATTGTGTCAGTGCACTCCATTTTAGCTTAGCCCCTGGTTGTTATACTTCGTAGCATCATATGATCCATTGTGTCAGTGCACTCTATTTTAGCTTAGCCCCTGGTTGTTATACTTCGTAGCATCATATGATATATTGTGTCAGTGCACTCTATTTTAGCCTAGCCCCAGGCGACTTACTGGCTCCGTCGTGTTTGTTGTTGGGCTTGGCTTGGGCTTTCGGTGCTTTTACTAAAGTTGTCTTGGTGGTGGTAATGGTGGTGGTCGTGGTGTGGACGGTGGTGGTGTGGGCGGCGGTGGTGGTGGCGGTGGTGATGGCCGGTGGGGTAGGGGTGGGCATAATGTGACCGTAGTAGATGGTCTTGTGGTTGATTACGTTCACCACGTTACCTTTGCCGTCTACGGGTCTGCCCTTGTCGTCCTTGAACTCTATGACCTCCTTTTTGAATTGAGGCATGGACGTTTTCTGGTGAAGCTTCAGCGTGAGCCGAGGAGGCGACGCCTTCCTCCTAAGGCTGCACTGTGCATAGTTGCTCATGGGCGACCTGAACGTGTCTCTCAGTCTGGACACGCTGGACGTTTCTGCAATCTCCGCCTGAGGCTCCACCTTCACGCCGGCGTTCTTCTTCGCGCAGTTACTCTGAGCTGTGCTGGTCACCATTGCCGTGATCCAGGGACTGAGGCCCGAGTCCTTCTTCTGCTGTGGAGAACACAGCTCCACCTTCGATCCCGTTTTAACAGCGACACCCTTCAGATCCCCCGACAAGCTCTGCAGGGGCACCCTCATCTCCGTGAACGACGCCATATGCGGCGTGGGCGGGCGGGTGCCGTTCTTAATGTGCTCGCTCAGCAACTGTAAGGACGTGGAGCTGTGCTGCTCGCTCGAGTTCGACGGCCCGAGATTCTTCCCCTTCGCCTTCGCTGAAGTTTTTTTCTTTTCCGTCTTCGGTCTTTTCAGAGAGTCCTTTTTACTTTCCGAGTTCGTCGAACGTTTTTTGGTGACTTTCTTGAGGCGGTTCTTGTTGTCACTTGATCGCACGTCCGTGTCCTTTCGTGAGGATAAAATTGACGTCTCAGACGTCCCGTTATCTGTCTTTCCGGATTTATTGACCGCCGATCCATTCGGCGGCTTGTCGCCCCTTTTCGTTTTATCTTTAGGCGACTTTCGGCCTGCGTGATTTTTCCCCGTCTCCATGCTGAGAAAGGTGGGGCTCAAGGTGAGCTTGCTCTTGGGTTTCTTCTCCGTGCTGGTCATCTTGATCTCAAACAGAGACCTGCTCATCTTCTCCGACGTGTCCCTCAGCTTGGCCAGCTTCCTCCTCTTCGAGAAGAGCAGCGCGGCCTTCTTGGTCAAGGAGAAGTACACGATGCCGATCTTGTGATCGATGGTGATCAGCTGCAGGTCACGGAGCCTCGTCACGATCATCAGACGACCGAACTCGTTGCCGATGCGCTCGAGCATCTTCAGCGAGGAGGTGATGACGTCGCCATGTGGGTCCACGCTGCTGCCGCTGCCGGTGGGCAAGGATTTCAACTTCTTGAGATCCTCCGCGATGCTGTCCGGGCGCTTCCACCGCCTGCAGTAGCCCAGGAGAACCTCGATTTCGCCGGTCACCCGCTGCAGCGTCTCGCCCCAGAGATCGACGCAGGTCTCGTGGAACAGGTCGATGGCCGACACGATGGTTTTCATCACCGTGTAGAGATTGTCGTGGAAAAACCTTTGGTTGGAAAAATGGGGATCCGCTTCGTCGGTTTTAGCCTCAACGTTGTCCACGATGAGTAGCCTGTTATCGAGGATCTCCTCTTCAATCTTAAGCTTTTTGAAGCTCCTGTAACCTGTGGTGGACTTCCGCGACTTCTCTCTCTCCCCGGCGTGCAACGGTCGCAGCTGCTCGTGCAGCACGTCGATGCAGCAGAAGATGCGCTCGATCATCGACTCTTGGAAGGCGCACATTTCTCGCCGTAGAAGGTCGTTCATCACCGGAAGTCGGTCCTTTTTCATCCTTTCAATAAACATGTCGCATGCCTCCAGTGTACTCTCTACCTCCTCTATCTGCTGTGTCAGTAAGGAGTTGCTCTGAAATGTCATAGAAAGGTATTCATAGATTTGCATTGTTGCTTTGGTTGCATTTAAGTTAAAAATGAATAAGGGTACAGTTAATAAAAAATAAAGAAAAATTATCACATGCATTTATTTAAATAAAAGATTTGAATTTTTTTTAGCAATTAAATCTCTATATTTTCTTAACGAAATAACGGACTATGGGTCGAAGCTAAATTCGAAATTATTAGACATTTTCATTTCTATAGATTATCAGTTTTGATTCAAGTACATGGCGCACATTCAGCTGACATTAAAAGGGACAAAAAAAAATATATTGACAAATGCACATCGTCCTTACCGCATAACTTACTTTACTCTCGCCTGAAATTATTTACAACATGCCTTAATGCGTTCACACATCCTTTCATCATGTCAACTGTATAGACTGTATGTATTATATACGTCAATGTAATATACATTTTAGGGCTTAACATAAATACATAGTTGTTTTTTTTTAAACTGTTCAATAAAAGACCTTTTTCAATGCAGCAAGGCGACACTCTTTGACCTTTAGTGACCTAGACAGGTCTTGCATCTGTTCCAGCAGCTCCGAGATCTCCGAGCAGTGGTCTTTTTTCGGGACGTCTACGTCATCAAGACCGCACATATCCCCACCTCCATTGTCATCGACGGAGCTGGTGCGCGGGCACGCCTCTGGGTGGTGGGGGGACGCAACCAGCTCGGGGGAGCTGGGCCGACTCAGATCGTCGAACAGGGAGCTCAGCGTCTCGTGGGGGTCGACGCCGTTGAAGGCCTGCTCGTCCCGCCTTCTCTCTCGTTCCTTCTCGGCTTTCTTCAACTGAGACGAGAAGTAGGCGCTGATCTCTGTGACCTGGTGTTGGAGCACTGCCCATGGGACGACAACAACAACAAAATGCATGAACACATTTTTGTGGCGCCACATTCGTTGATGACTTTAAATGTCGTTTAAAAAAGTCCTTCTTGTCACGTGACCACTGGCAGTATTACATGAACGCCCTTTAGATGACAAAAACTACCACTGTCTCATAGACATGACCTTGGAAGTACCGCCTCCTGTCTTAAAGGGTGTGTATTGATAAGAAAGTTAGTGGGGCCGTCTACCCCTTACCTCCCGACGCAATGTTCAGGCTTAAAGCCATTTGTAACCCAGGGAGCTGCAAGAGAATTTAAGGTTCTGCGCCACATTCTACAGTTAAAAGGGCAGGTTCAAAAAGTCTTTGGAAAAAAACGTTTTTGTTTTACCCCCCCCCCCCCCCCTTTTTTTTTCCCCCTTTCCCCATTCAGGCTTAAAGCCATTTGTAACCCAGGGAGCTGCAAAAAAATTTAAGGTTCTGCCCCCCCTTCTACAATTAAAAGGGCAGGTTCAAAAAGTCTTTGGAAAAAAACCTTTTTGTTTTTCCCCCCCCCCCCCCTTTTTTTTTCCCCCATTCCCCATAGCTCTGACCCATGTCTTTGACCTCAATATGTATTCGCTCATGAATGCAAGGTCTTCTAAGTTTAGGGTGGTTGCATCTCGAGAAAAAGGGGGGGGGGAGTATGAGGTCACATTTCAGCTTGTTCGAGTAAAACGATTATAAGAATAGAGGAGTATTGAATAAAAGAGACATTGAATGGACAAGTATTGATTAGAGAAGTCATTGAATAGAGGAGTCATTGAATAGAGGAGACATTGAATAGAGGAGACATTGAATAGAGGAGTGAGTATTGAATAGAGGAGTCATTGAATAGAGGAGTCATTGAATAAAGGAGACATTGAATAGAGGAGTCATTGAATAGAGGAGTCATTGAATAGAGGAGTCATTGAATAGAGGAGTCATTGAATAGAGGAGACATTGGATAGAGGAGGCATTGAATAGAGGAAATCTAAATGCTAAGATGGTTTAAATTACATTTTTTTTTACCTTTAGCTTTCCTCAGGCGTAGTGTAGCGTTTGAGCTGACGGCCCGGAACTTGTCTTGGTCGACGATCTGTACGGCTGGGAGGTTGCGGTCCTTCAACCAGTTCTTACAGATCAAAAGAGAAGTCAGTTTTAACACATGCCTTTTTTAAAATAGTTTTTTTTTAAAATGTTTTCTTATTTGAAAAACATTGTTCACAAAACTGTCAATAATAAAAGGGTTTTGTCCAGAATCACTGTATACTGCGTATCTTCTACCGTGTACTGTGTACCGTGTACCGTATGGGAGTTTTGATATTTGATTTTTGTGATTTTATAATTATGTGGTCGATTAGAAATTTGCGTGATTATTTGGGGCGAAATTATTAGCAAGATAGACGGGGCTTCGATCGTACAGCTCAATTATATGTATTCAGTTTTAGCGCGCCCCCCCTCCCCATTATGATGATGATGATTGACTTGATGTGCCTAGTCGGTGACAGTGACGGTTGATAAGTGACTAACTAACCCTGATGTCATCAAGGAACAAGGAGACAGTGTTGATGTCTTTACTCTTGCTGGAGAGGAACACGCCTCGAAAGTCGTTGAGCAGCGCCTCGAACTGAGACTTGACCACGGGGTCGCCGACAAAATGGAGGGCCGACTCGACCTGTGCGGTGGGCAGGACGACCATCAAGGTATTATTTTGTTATATGGTGTTGTATTGGTACACCAGGCAAGGTGTTAAGTTGGAACAGCAAACAAAGTGTTGTGCGATAGATCTAGTGTTTGGTTATCTGCACTATCAGCGACACCCCCCCCCGGCTTCAAAATCGACGCTCTACAGTATATGATTTTCTCTCACTACCTTCCTTTCTCTCTCTCTCTCTCTCTTTCTATCCCTTTCTTTCTGCCTTGCTCTCTCTCCCTCTCTTTCTCTTAATATCCCTCTCATTTTCCCTCCGTCCCTTCACTATCTCTCTCTCTACCCCTCTACCTCTTTCTTAATCTCTTTCTTTCTCTCTTCCCTTATCTCTTCCTTTCTGTCACTTCTTCCCCTCCCTCCCCTCTCTCCCTCCTCTTATCTCCCTCCTATTATCTCCCTCTCTCCCCACCTCTATGTCTCTCTCTCTCCCCCTCATTACAATTGTTCTTTTGTCAGTGAAGTCCTATGTTACATTATGTTACCATTATATCATCTAACTCTAACTAACTTGGACATCAAACATTCACAACTTGAGTCAAAACAACAACAACAACAACAACAACAACAACAACAAGAAGATCGCACGGAGAACCCAATGCCAACAACTGCACCTCCGGCAAAATGTGATCATATTTGGGTTGCAGGTGCTCCAACTTCAGCTGCTTGATCCAACTGTTGATCTCTCGGAGAGGTTTCCCAGACTTATCTTTCGCTTCCGGGCTCGTCATTTCTTTCGTCTCAATGCTGTTGATGCTATCATATAACTGCGCCAAGGTCAGCTCGGGGGAGGACTGTGCCACCAAACACTGGCCCCCGATGTCTCCCTGAACACTGCTGGTCGACCCCGGGCCCCGGGGCTTACTTCCTTCTTGAACTTTGGACGACTTGCGGTCAGTAGCAGTTTGACCACAGATTTGACCACAGATTTCCTGAAATTTTGTTTGTTGAAATAATCATATTGATTAACGCAGAAAGCTGTTCGTGTTAAATGCGAAGTTTGAAAATGGCAAGCGGTCGATTTGATATAAAGTCTTATTGAACTACAATGGCAGACATTTTGATGTAACGTCGTATTGAACTACAATGGCAGACATTTTGATGTAAAGTCTTATTGAACTACAATAAAGGCAACCAATGTCCAAAAGCAGTGACAGGATAGAAGAAATGGTTTGAGAGATAGGTTGGAGGGATAGGTTGGCAGGACAGGTTGTAGGGATAGGTTGCAGAGAAAGGTTGGAGGGACAGGTTGGAGGGACAGGTTGGAGGAGTAGGTTGGAGAGGGGAGATTAAACAAGGGCCCCCTCTTCTTTTTTTTTTTTCAAACACATTGAAGAGTCTACCAGCTCAGAAAGTCCTCTGGCAATAACACCAACATCGCAGTCACTCGATTATAATGAGATATGCATTAAAAGGAATAGGGAAGCCTGATATAGGACGCAACAAAACAACCAACTTGTAGGCAAGATGCCATCGTCAGCGAGCAGTTCAAAGAGTAACAAAATTAAGAATTTAAAATGTTAATAAAATATGCTATTTTACCATCTACCATCTACCATCTACCTACAATTCAGACTGCGCATCTACCTGCAAGACTGACTGACCATCTACCTGCAAATCAGATTGCCCATCTACCTGCTTAGAAGACTGCCCATCTACCTGCTTAGAAGACTGCCCATCTACCTGCAAAGAAGACTGCCCATCTGCCTGATAGGCAGATTGCCCATCTACCTGCTAGGAAGACTGCCCATCTACTTGCAAGGAAGACTGCACATCTACCTGATAGGCCGAATGCCCATCAACCTGCTAGGCAGACTGCCCATCTACCTGCTAGGAAGACTTCCCAATCTACCTGATTGGAAGATTGTCCATTTATCTGCCAGGAAGAATGCCCATGTACCAGCAAGGCAGTCTTCCCATCTTCCTGCTAGGAAGACTGACCATCTACCTGCCAGGAAGACTGACCATCTACCTGCAAGGGCTCGTCGACACTGAAACCTTTTCTTGCACGGTTGATCAACTCTGTTGCCCGCCTGATCTCCTCGATTATGCTGTGCAGCGACGATGGTGACAGTGACGGAAGTGCGACATGACTTGACATGACAGGTGGAGGCTCCGAGTTGGCGTGCCAGCAGTGCAGTCCATTTGGATCTGTAGTGGAATGTTGATGTAAGTGGATGTAAGTGGATGTAAGTGGATGTAAGTGGATTTAAGTGGATTTAAGTGGATGTAAGTGGATTTAAAAGGGTGTGGATGGATGTAAGTGTATTTGAGTCGATGTAAGTGGATGTGAGTAGATGTAAGTGGATATAAGTGGATATAAGTGGATGTCAGTGAATGTCATTTGGATGTAAGTGGATACCGGACCAGCCTTAGGCTACTGCAACCTATGCGGCCGCAGTGGGCCCCGCACTTTTTTCTAATACTATATCTTAATTTTCACTTATTATCCTTATCCCTACCCAGACTGGGCCCCGCGCAATCCGTTTCGCATAGGGCCCCGCAATTGTTAGGGCCGGCCCTGAGTGGATATAAGTGGATGTAAGTGGGTGTCCCATTTTGAAGCCAACTCTTGGACAATGTCCAGTTATTCAAGGGTTACTCATTTGTATTTTGTTATATAATGGAACAAGCAGTTGTAAGATGATGAATTTGTTGTCTATTTGAGCCATTGATGGCATGTCCTGTTGGTCTAAAGTCTAAAGTCATAGTTGTAGGAGCCATTTTTTCCTGTTGGTCGAATCGTTTCGTTTCAAAAAAACGTGATCACGTCTCTCCACTACGCCATTCCCTTCATTGGCTCTCTATACAGGCACGCATTGACTACAAGTTGTCTGTTCTCTGTCACAACTTTTTTTTCGGATTCCTGCCCTTCCTATCTAACCGATCTTCTTTCTGTCTATTCACCCCTTCGACAGCTTCGCTCCTCCGCAGACACGCGTATTCTTTTGATAATATTTTTATGTACAGCGCAGTGAGCCCAGCCCTAGGCAGAGGTACCACGCTATAAAAAAAACACTAATTATTATTATTATTATTATTATTATTATTATTGTATATAAATTTTGCCTCAAATGGTTTGCTTTTTTTCAAATTAGTTTTCTTTTGTAACTTAAACCCTATTATTGTGTTTAAAAAAACATATCAATGGGCCTCATTACTATCATTTAAATTTATGTGTATCTTCTAGATCAACATATCTTTCCTTACTCAAAAAAGGTTGCGCGTCTTCCATTTATACATGACTCTTCATCAAAAGATAAAACTCCATCCGCTCTCCCGGAAGAGCAGTTTTTGGCCTAATGATCTTCAGAATGAACGCCATTTTCAATGGACATGCCTTCATCTTTGATTGTCATCAACTCTCTGCGTGCCTCGGACCTCTCTGAACGTGAGAGGGAAAAGGAACACTTCCTTTCAGATGCCGTGCCCCTTCGGAAAAATCCGGTCAGCTAAGCCACGCAATAAAAGAAACTCGTTTAAAAATAACGTGTAAGTGTTTTTTATGCTTGGCTTGCTCGTGAAGTGAAATTAGTAAATAGTCATTGACAGGCCATTGGTAAAAAAAAAGGGTTTTATTTTAAATATATGTTTGTTTGTTGTTGTTTTTTATTGGGGGAGATTCGGGCAGCGTGTTCAAACATAAGTTGGTAGAGATGCGTTCATGATGTGTGAAAGAACCATGCAAACATCTTACTCCAATCATGGTGGCCCATGACAAAGGGTTCAGATGTATAAATAAGCTACCATTAAGCTCCAGCTTGTGGCATGACAATCCCGCAGGGTCTCAAATGATAAACATGTAGACATTTCTTGAAATGTATGCTAAATAAATTATATTCTCTTATTTTTAATTAAATGTCAGCCATCCAAAACAATCTAAGTTCAGAGCCGTTCTTAGGAGTTTGGGGGCCCTAAGCATGGAGCGCAGGTTGGGGGCCCCGGAAGGGGGGGTCCGGGGGGGAGCTCCCACGAGCTGAGGAGAAAACACCAGCCACCACTGCGGCACCTCCATTCTGCCTTCATCAATGTTTCCTCTTTGCTCGCGTGTAACCACTACCCATATTGATAATTCCGCCACTAGAGAAAATGTGTACTTCTGAAATATATGGACATGCAGGTGGTAGTGGGCCCCTAGGCCGTTGCCTAGTTTGCCTATATTCCTAAGAATGGCTCTGGTGGCACTTATTTCCTTATTTTGAGGAAGGAGATCGCCCCCCCCCCCGCTTCCCTTCCCCTGCCTCCGAATTCAACTCAGAATGATACATTTCAGGATGAGGAAGATAACGTGAGTGACACAGACGGCTGCAGTGCCAGTTTAAATTTAAAAAAAACCGGGGGATCGAGGGGCCTCACGGGGGCCCTCTCACGTTCGGGGCCCTACGCAGATGCGTAGTCAGCGTATGCCTAGAACGGGCCAGCTCAGCTGCATTTGTGTACAGTTTTGTGGTAATTTCTGGAGGATTTTTGTTTACAAGGTGCCATAGAGTCTTCTTTATATCTGTATAATAAGCAAGGTTCTGTATATTTGTATCCATGAAATGCAATCAAAAGGATATGAAACAAAGAGGGCCTGACAAGGCCTTAGAGGTCGATATTTGGAACGGCCTTTAGAAACCTAGACATCAGCCTTGAAAATTATGCAAAAGTACCGACAGAAGGGGGGGGGGTGGGTGACAGCTCCCCCTGAGATCATTTTTCCATAAGTGTTGCCTTTTCACTAATATTTTTTTCATTCGTCAAAAAAACCATATAATGTTTCAGAACATTCCACTTACAAATCCATCAAATTTATGTATTTTCTTCTCCGTATGTCAGTGTAATGTTTTGCTGTCCCCACACGTGACTCTCTTGCTACGCCTGGTCGCCTGCTCCGACTGAACTGTAAGGTCAGCACGCGAGTGAGTGTTTTGGCGACTGTTGGAAGTTTGATTATGCAATAATGAATAATGTCGCTTCCAAGTTTGTTTAAATTATTCTTAGATGGAGCAGAGTGAACAAGGAATCACACCACTAAGACACAGTGGTGACACCCTAAATATATTCGTATCTCAGTAAAAATGGTCAAAAATTGGAAACACCCCCCCCCCCAAGTAAGCGTGAGAATCGCCTCGACAAGGTCAGGGGTCAGGAAGCGTCATGTAGACAAGATCGCCAAGGAGAGACACGAAGAATTGAAAATACCAAAAAAGTATTAAAATAATTTTGAATAAACATTTTTTTATATTGTTTGAAGGACGGTTTTATATTCACAAAAAAGTGGGAATAGTTATTCAGAAAGTTATCATTAAAATGCTTTAAGCAAAGAAAGCCTGTGCAGCAAATTTTTTTTTCCAATCAATTTTAAAAAATATAATATATTTAAGACTCCTCTAATTTAATTTGAATCGCTTAGAGTACCTTACCTCCCTGATACCCATGCATTTGTAGACCAACAAATCTGCTGAGACACATGTTCTCAAACTGGGTGCCAAAAGCACTGATTGGCCTATTTCACAACGCCTTAGGAAAAATTTAATGCAAGAACGGCCCTGAGATTTTTTTTTAAAAATGGGAAACTCTGCGCTAAGAGATGGGCTGTGAATGAATTTAACAAAAGTAAATGTATTACTTCATTGAATGATCCTTTAATTAAATAAAGCTTATGCACCCAAGTTATAAATCTCTTTTATATATATTTTGCTTGTGGTGTGATTGCTTCCAATTCCGGAAAGCGCGCAAAATATAATTCCCGATAACTGCGCTAAATGACATTTATTTTATTTTTTTAATAACGCAACTTCGTTTGCCGCGTAATATTTTCTTTTCTTTTCGTAGAAATGGAATCGTCTCAATTTAAATATGGTGTCAAAAATATTCGGTTTAAAAGTGGTTGGGGCATGAGAATATTAATATAGTTCATGGACGTAAAATAAAAAGTGTGCAGTGACGTATCATGGGGGAAGGGGTGTAGCAAATATTGGGATTCTTAAATGTGCGTTACTTGAGTTCATGTTTTGTCAAGTAACTTTACTAGATGGGAAGTCCACGCATTGCTGTCACCAATATTTAGTGAGCTATAACTAGTCTAGTTATATTTTATTTTTATCTTTAACTCAATAAATCAATTGCAATGTAAATTTTAATAAAATTAGTCCGGAAAGCAAAGTGTTTTATTTCGCTTTTTTTTCTTCCTTGTGCTCTCAATCAAAAGTTGTTGTTTTACTTAGAGAAAGCTCATGAAAAGTTGGAACACATGAAGCATACCATGAAGCACCGGTGCCATACATGTGGTGCAGCACAAGTGCCATACATGTGGTGCAGCACAAGTGCCATACACCTTGGAGCCAAAACATCCTGAGTGTTGGGAGGGGGAAGTCAACAGAACCAAATGAAGCAGGTCAAAACTTTGAAGATACACTTTTTTTAAACAGCTGCCTGCATGTCAACAGGTCAAACTTTGAAGGTATGTCTAACGGGAATTCTTTAATTAGCATGATTTTTTTTTTTTTTGTTACCGAAAGTTTGTTTGAAAGAAATTCGTTGACGGTAAATTGGTCGACGAAAATTTCTTTTTGTACCCACTATACTATATATCAAAACAAAATAATGCGTTCAAAAATAAATTTGACGCCAATTTAAATCGTGTGAACTGAAAACAAAACTAAGCTCATCCAAAACTCGACCAAACTTCCGTTCGATCAAATTTCCGTTGATCAATTTACTGTCGACGAAATTTTTTTCAAACAAATTTCCGGATAGAGATTTTTTTTTGTAGATCTTCTTATCTTGGCTTTGGTCGTGCGTCACATTTGCGTCTATTGACTCCTACCTTCCAACCCTCCATTTCCTGATCTTCTTATCTTGGCTTTGGTCGTGCGTCACATTTGCGTCTATTGACTCCTACCTTCCAACCCTCCATTTCCTGATCTTCTTATCTTGGCTTTGGTCGTGCGTCACATTTGCGTCTATTGCATCCTACCTTCCAACCCTCCATTTCCTGATACCCCTCCCACACTGAGTAGCCCTTGCATTCAACGAAATATCCTCTTCAATACCAGGCACACAAAAACATCGTGAACCCCCCTCTACATAAACGGTAGCCAGAATGATCAATACATTGATCGTGGACCCTAAAGAAACAGAAGAAGAAGAAGAGAACAGTATTTTCAATATTAGACATTCTTTCCGTCTGTTTAGCACTTTGACTGTCTTAAATTTAAAAAAAAAAACAATCCTCCTCATGTCCCTTAGTGCTTGGACCGTTGGGGCGCCACAGATGACATGTGAACTATCCTCCTCCATTCGTCTCGGTCTTCTGCACAACGCACAGCATCGCCCAGTGTTAGTCCTGTCCACTCTTTGATGTTATCCTCCCATCTTTTTCTTTGTCTTCCTCTTCTTCTCCCTCCTCTTGTGGTGCCCTGCAATACTTCTTTGGCAAGCCCTTGTTTCCATTGTAGTTTGCGTTTTTTCACAGTCACCAGTAGGTCATCGTACTCCCCAATGGCATGGCGAACCCATTCTTTCACTGTATTATTGGAGATATGGTCCCTATAGCAGATTCCAAAAATGTTTCTGAAGCATATTATCTCCATCTCCTTTATTTTCTTTTCAAGATCTGCTGTTAATGTCCAGGATTCGCAAGCATACAGGAAAAAAACAACAATAGAGCCATTTACTTTAAAGCACTTTTAAGTTTTAATATATGAAGGACTGCGTTCAAGTAGTGTGAAGGAAAGAGTAGAACAAGGTATGTGGTACATGTGTCCTGCTTGCTGAGGAAGGCTCTTAGCCTATTCTTCCTCAATTGTCCTGTCTTTCTATTCAAGCTTCAACATGCATTGATCTATTACTTACTTACATTCAAACAGTTTTACAACTGAACTATTGCAGTGGAGGTGTTTTTTTCTTCAATCTAACCTGTGAAAGGAGATGTCTCCACATACTGCTCCTGACACTGCTCCTGCTCAACTTTCTAAAGTAAGATGTACTTCACCACAAAGCTGTGTCAATATAAAATTAACTAAAATTGTTTTTTTTTTTTTTAATTTAATTTTATTCGACAGATGCAATGCCAAACACAATTTCTGGTTTAAAATGGGGAGATAAGCCATTAACCAATAAGCCGATTGATGCTCCTGAAGCCCATGCTGGCCTTAAAGTAACCTCCCGCATGATTCGTCTCCCAGACATTCAGGAACTCACAACGTCCTCCTTTAACTCTAACAAATGGCTCACCTGCTTCCTCCTGCAGGGATCTATCCTATACCTAAGGGAGACCAGTTTCGTTTCCAGAAAGTAGTCCCGGGCAAGGACGAGCACTGCGGACACTGTGAAGATATTCCTCGAAACATACATGACTACAAGTGAGTAGAGCAGTGGTTCCCAAATTGTGCTCCACCGCGCCCCAAGGGCTCCATTTGCATTTCTCAAGTGCTCCGTGGCCGCTCCGGGAAATTAAAATAACACCATAAACATTTAAGATATAAGGAAGGGCTAACGGGCTCTCCTATATAAATTTATTTTATAATAGGGCTCCGCGAGTCAAAACTGTTGGCGACCACCGGAGTAGATGACGGAGTAGAATTGTTTGAGTATTATCATTGACTATCTGGTCACGCCCCCACACTGACGTTCTCGTGGATGTTACATGCAAATCTTAGCTATTATTAATTATTTCGTCGAAATTAAATATGGCTGTTTTGGGTTTTTTTAATTTCTTTTTTGAAAAAAAATTAAAATTGGGATGCTCATATCTTTTTGTTGATAGTAAACAACTTTTAAATCTGTAATGATATTCCGTTTTGTTTTTTTGTGTGCGTGTGTACGCCCTTCTGCTCTATTAAAACCATTTTCCCAGCATTCTTTTTGGTCAGTTTTGTTTCGGGTTTGAGCTTTCGTATCTGGGGGCTTCTTTCGTATCGAGCACCGGCATGACCATAAATAAAAATGGGTTTCAATGAGTACAATTTGTTGCAGTAAAAGTATGAAGTTTAAAGTCTGGAAGAAAATATTCGAATCTTGCGCATAGGCTGTGTCGGTAGAAAATGATGTGAAGTTAAGCAACCCCTTTAAAAACTAAGTTTTTATAAGCATCTTTGTTGGCATTTGTGCGCGGGATTTTATTATTGATGTGATTGTATGAAGTATGAACTAATTTTTTGGTTTGGGAATGGCTTGGTTTTTTTTAATCAAACTTTGTGCATGTGATACACTAAAAGACTAAGTATATAATTTAACCCAAATACGTCACAAATACGAAGCACTTACCAACAACTACACAATTAATCTCCACACCATAGCACGCACCCATCGAACTCTGAATCTATTAGAGGTTTGTTGTTTGTTTTTTTTTTTTGGTGAAGCGGGAAATCCAAGTGTGATTATATGGCAAAGGCTGAGTGAATGGCTCGCTTTGTTACTGAGTGCATCTGTACAGATGGCATGGAATAAACCATGTGTTACGAAATGACTCACGCCGTAGCAGGTTGTAAACTTTAAGTTCTTCACATGACCCACTACTAAATTCAAACGACTAAATACATTTCATTTCATTTTTATAATACATCATCGTTATATTTCAGGTGGACAGATTATTTCGCCGAGGACCAACAGTACAATCAGGGCCAGCAACCCACGGGGCACTCCCCTTACGAAAGTCAGGACGAAGACTTCAGCCTTCCACCCTGGAACGGCAAATCTTGGCCCGTGAACAGTAAATCTTGGCCCTTGAACAGAAACTCTTGGCCCGTGAACGGCAAATCTTGGCCCGTGAACGGTAACTCTCAACAAACGAGCGGCAACCCCAGCGCAAGGAACTGTCATCACTATCAAGCATCAAGCTCCCCGTACCCCAGACCACCAGCACCCACACCGTTCACCATGATGAACCATGGATGCGAGAACTGCTTGCAGGAGTTTGGCGGCCTGGGCCCGGTATGCGACGTGTGTGCGGGGGCCGGAAGTAACAGCGGATGTTGCCCCGACCAGCCACCCCGACCACTTCGCAAGAGAGGCAAGGGCTGGGGTTACTGTCCCCCGGTGGATGTCGACCCGAGGAGTTTGATACGGCCGCGAAACAAGAGCCTTCCAGATAGCACGCGACCAACAGGGTAAATGGGTAGACCAGTGGTTGGCAAATCGCGGAGAGCGAGCTGCGTGCGAATCTCTAGCGACCTGAGTGCGGCTCTCTAGCAACCTGAGTCGGTCTCGGCCAGTCGGCCACAGATCGGCTGTGACTCCGAAAAACATGGTTCTTGACAGGTTCTTTATGAAAGAAGTTTGGCTCTCAATTTTTTTTTTAGATTGTCCTGCTGCTGATTTAGGCTCTTTTAACTGATGAGTTTGCTGACCACTGGTGTAGACCAATCGTATTGGTTGCCTCCGATATCTTTTCTCCATTAGGTATTAGCGCGCTAAGTTAATGTAAATGATTTGTGTACAAAAAAAAAGTTGAAATTCTTCAAAGACTTTCAATCAGATGCTTCTGTGTTTTCAGAGCTCCATTGGGTTCGTATAACTATGTCTCAGGGCCCCCACATAGATCCTACATATACAATTTGTTTTAAGGCCCCCACAGTTTTTCTAAATATATAATAATATGTTTCAGGGCTCATACATTTTGCCTACATTTAAATATGTTACAGACCCCCATAATATTCTTACATTTGTAATTAATTTCAGGGCTCCATATTAGGCTTACACTTTTAATTACTTTCAGGACTCAATTTTATTCTTACACTTACATTATTTCAGCGCTCCATATTTCGCCCAAGAATCAAATCCTAGTTGTTTTCCTGAGCAGTTCCCGAGACCTAAAAAGAGCACATTTTCTTTTGATGACTGGTAAGCCGATACACTCAAATGCAAATCCACTATGGCTAAAAATACATGTCTAGGCGTCATGCTACAGACATTCACTTTACAGAAACTCACTTTGCAGACATTCATGTTGCAGACATCCACGTTGCAGACATCCATGTTGCAGACATTCATGTTGCAGACATTCATGTTGCAGACATCCACACTACAAACATTCATCTTGTAAACTTCCAGAAGGTCTGCGAGTTTTATTTTATTGCTCTTTATTTTTTTATTTGTGTATGTCAGTCAGTGGTTCTCATAGTGTTCTTGATTTCTCATTTAACAAGGTATTTAGACATTTCTATCTACAACTAAAACAAACAAATGAATGCTGCTGTAGAAAATGGCTGACCTTGACCTTGACCAAGAATTAAAAAATGTTAAAAACTCTACACGTGTGTGTTCAGGTTTGGTTTAAAGTTTGGAAAACGAGACTTAGGGTGTGTGTGTGTGTGTGTGTGTGGGTGGGGGGGATGAGCTTTATATACCTTCAGAGTAAAACCCAAGGCGATACACTAGAAATTGTGTTGGATTTTTATTTATTTTTTCTACGGATTGTATTGAGCCAAAATTATCCACTAATCCAGGTTGAGAACTGTGGATGACCGCCTCCCTCAGAAGCATCTCCAGAACTGTTGCGTGCCGTCTCTGTGTACATCGTGTGCCCCGCCATACGTGGACTGCTGCCCCGATTACAAGGATCCAAGGGCCTACACGCTGGTCAAGCAGGGGCTTGCTCCGTATTGACTAATGCTCTACCTTTCATCTCCCTTACCTTTAAAAAGCAAACTTCTTTGTTTTTGTTTTTGTAATACCAAATCTCAGCCTCTATCGACGACCTTTGAAAACTTGCCATCGCCATCAATGAAAACTTCGGAGAACACTATATCGATTAAAATCTATTTTGGGGTTGCCTCTCTTTTCAATGTACAGATCTTTAGATTTTTAATAAAGAAATATCAGTGAAGTTTATTATAATTTTTTTTTTTTAAACCAACACACACGAATGGTCATGCCTCCTGTTTTCACAATAAACTGACATTGGCTGCAAAAAAAATGACTCTAATCTTTTTATTTATATCGTCAACTAATTTTAAATCATTTTAATATTTAGTAGTGTTGTTCTTTTCCCTATTTCCCCCCACACTTTTTCACTTGGAGCAGATCAAATAAATGTGAATGTTCTTCTTCGTCAGAATTTTTCTTAAACACTTCATATTAACTTTCATGTGTTTTTTGGCCCAAAATCTTTGGAAGGCTAATGGACATAACTTCCCGTCATCTCATCGATCTGAAACTTGGCACATAGACTCGTTGCCGATGGCAACACATTCGAACAAATGTTCAGCCCCACTCCTCACTTCCAACCCTCAAAGATCAGCTTGTCCTGTTTTTTTCAGTGGGTGAAGGAGGAAAGGGGGGGGGGGGGTATAATAATGTTTTGTTTAAAAGGGTGCGTATTTTAGTGTGGGGATTAATTGTGTAGTTGTTGCTGTGTGCCTTTTTTTTGTGAGGTATTTGGGTTTGCAGTTAGAATAA